CAACACGAATTGGTGCTCCGAGTTTGCCCGACTCAGAGGTCTCAACCAATATATCGTCGGAGAGAAGAGAAAAATTGGTGCTTGTCCAAGCCAAATCTAACGAGTGCTGAACCGTACCGACATTGGAAGCAATTCTCAATGCTCACAGTCTAAGCCGGCACAAATGAAAAAAAGAACACGAAGGGAGGAAGCTCAAGGAAAGGAATATCAGCAACATAACAAGGCGCTCGACTACAAAGTTAGAAAGAATTGATCAAATTTGAAGTAGCGAATAATCAAGTTGGCTCACATCCCGCGCTAAAATCGCAAGATTCCTCGTGCGTCCAAGTCTGGGAGCCCGCAACGAATATCCTTGATAAATCCGGGTATGTTATCCGGCGGAAACCGAGATGTCACCGTAAACCTCACAGTGCTGAGGGTCGGGAAGTGCGCAGAACTGAGGGCGCTGTCCAGCGGCGCCCAGTTAACGACGGGCCGGCCTTCATCTAAGGAGGCTATAGCGATGTTGAGGGTCACTAGGATCTTGGAGCAACTCTCTAAAAGGCTAGCTAGCAGTTGTGCGCAGCTGGTGGGCCAGTCGCGGTACACCACAAACGAGATCGAAAGCACACGGAGGTTCGTCAGCTTTGAAAGGGAAAGATGGATGGGATTGACGCGCGGAACTGTATAGAGAAAGTGACAAGTCAGTCGTTGGATCTCGACGAATTCACGAAAGATGGACCCACTGCGCTCTAATCGCAAGTTGAGTCCCTCAAGGCCCCAGGAGGCGTCAATGATTCTCTGAAAGTGAGACGCCGTGTCCAAGGGATAGGGTGGGCCCCCTGGATGACACGCAACACAGAGATAACGGAGACTGGAGAGTGAGTCTCCATCCACAAGCCATCTCGCAACGATACTCGGAGTCGCATTCCAGAGCCTCAAACTGCAGCGCGCCAGCGGCAAACGTTTGTTTAACGCGGACAGTTGTTGCTCATTCAGCGTGGGAAAGCCTATGTCCCACAAGGACAGCTCCTCTAGCGCGGGGGAGGCAAGCAGCGCGCTGAGTTCGGACAAGTTGACCTCTCCCAGCCCGGCGAGACGCAAGGAGACCAGGGGTGCGCGCTGGCAGAGCCCGCAGATGGCCGCCCGCAACTCCGGTGACGGATGGAGTGCGTAGAATTCCACGCCAAAGGAGGTCACGGAATCAAGCAACCCACAGAGCGCGATGACACCCGCCAGAAAGTCGGTACCCCAGTTGCCGTTATCAATGTCGGTGATTTCGATGGTCCGAACTTGATGACGGAGATGGGGAGAGTCGACGAGGAGGTCGAAGAGTTGCTGAGCGCGGGTGCGCTTACCGGGATTTATACGAACGGCTGAGAAAAGGCCCGCCTGAGAAGGGGGTTGAAACGCTCGGCAGACAAGAGCGCAGGAGCAAAGGGTAGAGCTATCCCCGTCATTTGCGCGGATGATTGTGTCGACAAGCTCCTGCGGGAAACGCAACAGGAAGGATTCTGTGGTCATGCTGAGCGCGCAAGGTGAATGAGTGAGGATGTGATCCAGTGTTGCCAGTGAAGGAAAAATCGTACACTTGAGTTGGTGGAGGCAGCAGTGAGGTCTCGCAGAGACAGCAGCAGCCTTGAACTCAGTCGAATTGGATCGCTGAAGGTCGAAGAGTCAGGAGTACTGATAGCGCAGACTCCTTGCAGACTCCTCAGAGTAGAGCCAGGTCATACACGTGGCGCAACAAGACGATGCGAGTTGTGATGAACTGTCAGTTGGGACATGGGAATATGTTTGGAATACTGTAGCATTTCGACCGATCCTTCACGCCATGTCACCGTCACCGCAAAGGTTCACTGGATAAGGTCTTCATTCCTCGGCAATCACGCCAACATTTCCATAAATGGTAGTCCGGCGGATGCCGGAGCAAAAATTTTGGCGTTTTTAGGCCCAATTCGGTCAGGAAACCCGCCCGTCACCGACACCGACACCAAAATCCTTCATTTCACGACCCTCCGTCACCCGTCACCTGAAGGATCGGTCGAAATGGTACAGTATGTCCTCGCCTCCTCGGGTTAGTCGGGTTCAACATTTTTTTTACCAGCAATGCATTCACTCGATGCTCCCATCAACTAGAAGCCTCCATATTCCGCGTACTAGAATGCAACTTGCGCATAGCGAACGTGAAACCACGTGTGCTTTCTTGTTGGAGTTTGGTTTGGTTCGGACTTACTCAGCCTTGCTTCGTCATTGTCTTACTCATGTTCTCGCTTATTCGTACACTTACTCAGGCGCTTACTCACTAGCTTACTCACTAGCTTATTCATGTAGACATATATAAGTAGGTAGTTAGCAATGGATCCTGGCTTTTGCGCCTCCCATCTGAGTCCCGTCTGAGTCCCGTCTGTGTTCTTGCCTTTGCGGCCCCCATCTGCGCTTTCTCCATCTAACATTTCTATGAGACAGATCTTCGCTAATTAATCCACATCGAAGTGCCAACACCCCATAATTGGGCTACTCGTAACTCCGTAGGCTGTACTTTTGGCGAAGTTCAAAGTTTTTACAACAAACTTCTGAAAGTTCGTAGTTCGTAGTTCGAACAGTCAATGATGGCATCATCACGGCATCACGGCCGTCGGAAGTTCGCACGCATCGAAACTTTGCGAAATATATTCCTGCTTTCCCAAACTTCAGTTGCAATGGCAGGTTTGATCTTACAATAGATACTGGGCTGCAACCACCATGATTTCTATCTGAAATGTATTTTCCCCCGGACAATTGACCATGATAACGGAATTCCAGGACATTTGACTGAGATTCCAGGCCTGTTTTGAGCCCATATACATCCTCAAAGCCTCATTAAGCACAAGTGGGCATCTTCGAATAGAATTCGGGGTACACAATGTCTTCAATTGTGATCTAAACAATATTTCCCATTTTATTGAAGCAGGTTCGCCCGTTTCAACCGGCTACAGACCGAAGTCAACCCACCTTGACGGAAGAACATGCTTACTAGTCTCCGAAAGAAAGATCTCTGTCACCTTTCTCTAGCTGAGGGTGTCATAAATGGCTCAAGAAAAATAGACAGACAGTAAGACAAAAACAATCCAATCAGACCTACCACATGGCTTGAAAACATCCCATTATGTTCAGAAACCTACCCTCGGGCTACTCACAGGTAAGAAAGTGTTTCTGTCCCGTCTGTATTTTTTTGTGGTGTTTTCACAGAGTGTCCCTTTTGGGTGATCGGCATGGCTCATGCCGGCATCAAATCATGATCGGAAGTTCAGACTTCAGACTTCAAACTTCATCAAAAGTTCCGACTTCAGAGTGGTATTATTTAGCGAAGAATAATGCCATAGCTTTCCCCTTGCTTCGCTCTTAAATGAAACCGAGCTACACAGAAGCTCAGAACAAGTCAAGAAAATTGGGGGTCCGGGCTGTCGCAAAAAAAAAAAAAACACTACACATCGCCGATCTCAGCGATATGAATCCGGTTCCCCCAAATCCTTCATTCCATGGGTTTTGCGCCAATGTCAAAGATCATTAAACAAGATTCACGATGTCCAAGTCGAAAAGTTAGGTCCTTGACGAGAACAAGGACTGCCGGATTTAACCTGTCGAACCATTCGTGCCGAAAAGAACCTGGGGAGCGGCATAAAACTATTACAAGGATGCACAAGGAAAGAGAAAAACAGATGGAAACAGTGAAGAGTGGCAGTACCTTGGCTCGAACCAGGACTTCCGGTCTCGTCTTCAGCTGGCAGACTGTGTAGCAAGAAACTCCCCTGTGCCTCGATACTAGACTCGTAACCAGTTTGCATTTTACGGCAAATCTTCAGTGCAAGCACTGTGCCGTAGGCAGACTGGTACAACTCGGGCTAAGCGAAAGGGCTGAGCCCGGGGTTTGAAAATTTTTCTTCTTGGCTACGTTCAACCAATTTATGTTGGATCCATAAGGTCGAAAGGCAGGATCCAATTCAATGATCCTAATCCTCTATTCTGTTGGTTCAGAATCTCACCGGAGGCCATGGATGTTGAGTACTATGCGCCCGATTTACAAGGGAAATGATGGCTCTGCGCAGCCACCGTTTGATGCCGCGGATCGGCACCGCTTAAAAATTAAAACTCCGGGCGCAGCCCTTTTGGGCGTCCCGAGTTGTACCAGTCTGCCTATGGCACAGTGCTTGCACTACAGATTTGCCGTTGCAGACTGGTCACGAGTCTACCTCAATACACCATACTGCTTCCCTGTATTGTATACTGGCCTGGGTGAGTACTGCAAAATCTGAGGGGTAGAAGAAAAAAATGTCGATGGTGTCCTGAGAGCAGTACCTTCAACCTTGGCAAATTAACAATTGCGTGAAGGCCCCAAGATAATCCCACGTGCTTCGATACACTATATTGCTTTCCTCACTCCCTTCGCAACCGCTGTGAGTCCAACAAAATTTGAAGAATGGCATGAAAAATGCCCTTGGGCGTAAGCGAGAGCAGCACCTTGATTCGAACACGGATCTCCGGGTCAAAATTGGATTTCGAAGCCACAAGAGGGCCTGGTGTGCGGCCTTGCACCATACTGCTTTTCTACCCTCCTTCTCATCCGGTGTGAGTGCCGCGTGCTCTGAGAATGCACAAAGGAAAAAAAAAAAAAAGGCGGAACCAACGAAGAGCAGCACCTTGATTTGAACAAGGACCTCCGGGTTTATCTTGAAAAAATTGCTAAGAGACTCCGGTGTGCGACAGTACACCATACTGCTTTCCCTGCTCTCTTACATCAACCCATGCGAGTCACAAATTATGAGGAGCTGAACAAAAGATGTGCAGTAGATGTTAGCAGGAGCAGTACCTTGAGTCGAACAAGGACCTCCGGATTCGTCTGTATTGATAGAAAACGTAAGGAGCCGCGGTGTGTGGTGTTACACCATACTGCTTCTTGGTATACGTTCTGGACCTCAGTGAATGCTGCAAAATTTGCGGAGTTCAGCAAACAAACAAAAAAGCTGGGAGCGTGTCCAGAAGAGCAGTACCTTGAGTCGAACAAGGACTTTGGGAATTTATACAACAAGAAGCTGTTCAAGATAATCCCGCGTGTTTCCATACACCATACTGCCTTTATCGTGCTGTATTTAACCTGGGTGAGCGCAGTAAATTTGTAGGAGTCCGACAAACTTGAAGGGTGAAAGAATGCAGAAGCAGAGCAGCACCTTGATTAAGGACTTCCGGCCCTTCCCCTTCTGGAGAACGCAAGGAACCGCTATGGGGTTCGAACTCACTACAGTATGTACACTACTGTACTGCTTCGTAGCGATTGCTGTCGAGAGCTTCAAGTGTCAATGCAGTGGGACAAAAAATGTTGCATATGCCAAGGCATATGCATTGAGCAGTTGGGTCGAACAAGGCCTTCAGGAATAAATCGCCATATGCAAGACGCGCAAGATGATCCTGCGTGCTTCGGTACACTATACTGCCTTTACAATGCTGTTTTTAACCTGTGAGAGTGCAAAGATTTTGAGGGATGCAAAAACGAAAAAATACGGGTTCTTGTGTGGGATCACACGAGATACCGCCCCTGGTCCATTTATGGTCTTGACCATAAATCAATGGAGGGAGTAAATAGAGGAGTTGACGGAGAGAGATGGACATGGAACTTGAGGACAAAAAATGCTATTCAAAGAACAGACCAGGGCAGTACCTTGATTCGAACAAGGAATTCGAGATTCAATCATTGGCTGAAGAAAGCTCATAAGATGATCCCATGTGCTTTGATACACCATACTGCTTCTTGTCTTTCGAGCCATTGAAAAGTACTGCGGAATTGGTTCAAATCTTGTCCCTTCGGCCGGCGGTCCTTCTTGATCGTGCTGACTGATACCACGAGTAGCAACAGATAGCGCTGGGTAACAAGGTGATTGCGCAGCACAGACGGCATTCCGGTTTGCTGTCTGTTGCAACTTGCAGTGCAACAGTCGCCACAGTTGACGCTAAAATTAATCCGATTCCAGGCGCGAAGCAGTTTATTTTCTTGGAGGGTCAATTCTACGGCGGGAAAAAGCGCTACAAGAAGGCACAAAGGTTACACCGAGCTCTCCCGAACAATCCCGAGAATTCCCAGCGCCGGTGGAGAACGTTGAACCAAAAATCCCAACAAGGGAATATGATTGCCGAATGCGCCGATGACATCTGGATGACACACCTTTCTCTCATCTCTTTCTTTCAATTGTTCCTCCTCCTCGCCACGCTCAGGGACCCTCGATCGGGCACGGGTTCTGTTCCCCTTGGCGACTCGGCGTCTATATCGATAGCCTCAGTATCTTGACTAACGCAAGACTAACGTCGAACATCTCCTCGACCTCGCGCTCCTCCAGCGCCAGCGTACGATCCTCAGGCTCCAGCTCCGTCTCCTCTATCGCCTCCTCTGTATCCGTCTCGGGCACCCCGACCTTCTTCTCATAGACCCTCTCCACACCGTTCCTCTCATCTTGTTTCTTTCAGTTGTTTCTCCATCCTCACCATCGAACACTTGCTGCTTGCTGCCGCCCAAGACCACGACGACGCCCTCCTCGCCGCTTCAGGAACCTTCGATCAGGCACGGGTTCTGTTCATTTGGTTCCTCTTGGCTATGTACTATGCAACTCGAGCCTTGAGGTTGTGCAACGATGAATACTGGTCCAATCCTGGCAGTCTGCCAGTGAGCCTTGAATCGTAGTTCGATTGCCTCGGAGTGTAGCAACACTGGTGGGACGGGCAATACAGTTGAAGCCCGAGACAGCGTGGAAATAGCTCCTCTGGTTCCATCATATCATGTTTATCAGTCGTAAACAACTGGCCAACGGCTCCCCCACCCTGACATTGCCTTTTAAGGCATAGATAATCAATCTTTCATTGATGTGAACAGATTACCGCCGAAAGCCGGTGCCCCTGGCGATCTTGGCACCACGAGCAACAGGTCTTTCCATGGTCTCCATGGCGTAGCGGTTACGGTGGTGTCTCTCCCATCCTTCTGATGGTCAGCGGATCGATTCCGTGCAGTAGTGTTTTTCCGCTTCTCGCGCTCGCCTTTTCTTTTTCTTCCCCCGCCGCGTATGCGCTCGGACTGGGGACGGGCGGGATCCAACGTGTGGTGCGAGCCGAAAACCATATATTCACTGCAAGTGCAAGAAGTGTAGTTCAAGGCAAAACCCAGCTTTGGGTATTATTGATGTAATGTGGCGAGACCGGGGACACTTAAAGCCATAATTATAAAGAGTGATTACCCTCAATGAGAAAATTTCAAGGTACTAAGACACCAAGGGAATCAGCGGTGGTTAATGTAATGTGCTATGGCGCAAGGTGGGGTCCAAAAAGTTGATAAAATTACGTGGCCACCGACTTTAATGCGAACAGCAATAAAGGCGGGTGGGCATCGGGCTCAAGGTGAGGGTCAGGACTCCTTCGATGTGAAAGGGGAAGTATTTCAGACAAGAAAGTAAATATGAAGATGCAAAAAGAATTGCACTGCCCGGGCTTGAACCCGCGCGACTGATAAGGTCACGTGCATGTCAGGGTGGGGGAGGCCAAGGGGGGTTGGCCAGCTTCCCACAGCTGGAAGTGGAGCTTCTCGCCTCGTCGAATTAGATACGCCGCTAGTGAACTTCACTGGCTACTTGGCCATCAGGAACGCCGTTTCTCCCATTTCGCAACAGTTTTGCACGCTATTCGACACCAGACTAGTATCCCTCCGTTTTTGTACTCGAAAACTCGGCACCATCAAAGAATCCTCCTTTCATCGACACTGGCCCTTCAGCGAATCTACCGCCGAGCTCCCTCGTATGTTAAAATATTCTTCATTCACGATGTCAGATACTTGACATCTCTTCAGTGTCTTATGGCTTTCGAAAGGCCCCACCAATCCTCTGCGACCCGAATACCCACTCACGCGGAAATTTCCGCTCGCGTGGCCGACCGTATCCAGATCGCGGCCCTCGATGCCCGCATCCTTGCACTTGAAACTTCAATTCGCATCCTCCGGGAGGAAAGAGGGCTGCTGCAGGAGAGAGTGGTTGGCTACACGTATCCAGTGCTTACTTTGCCAACCGAAATCGTCTCGCATATCTTCGTCCATTTCCTGCCGGGCTATCCTATTTGCCCTCCGATATCCGGCCCGCTCTCGCCCAAGACATTAGGACAGATATGCCACAGATGGAGAGAGATTGCTCTCTCTACTCCCGAGTTGTGGAGCGCCATCTCGCTGTTTCTGACCAGTGCCCGCCACCTGCAGAAGCCAGGACCCCTCCGCATTCTCGAAGGCTGGCTCGAGCGCTCGTGTTCTTGCCCACTTTCTATCGACCTGGGAGCGCTTCTGCCTTGCTATGGTGGCAACATACAAGCTCAAGCCCTCGAGCCCTTCGTCGATGTGCTTTTCTCGCACAGCTCACGCTGGCAGTATGTGAAGATAAAACTGCCTTTGAGCCCCGCTCGTATGAGCACGGTGCATGCGCCTTTACTTCGGAGTCTGAACCTCTCCGAATGGTCGAGTTCCAGGGATCTTGACTGGAAGAGTTCCTCCATGGAGGCGCCACAGCTGCGACAGGTTACCTTGGATCTGTATCACACGGCCTTCCTGCCGCTATTTCCTTGCGCTCAGTTGACAAGTCTTTGCACAAGTTCCATTTCGCCGCGGCAGTTCGTCGAGATCCTGCAGCACTCCGTCAACCTCGTAGATTGCAAGTCGACGATCCTCCTTCCTTCCGCCGGGGCCGATGGGGAGGAGATCAATCCGCGGCACCTCACGCTGTGCTATCTGGAACTGCTGGACCTGCGTATCTGGTCTGGCAAAGGTCACCCACCGAAGGGGTGGCTTGACAAGATCGCCCTGCCCGCCCTGCGCAAACTGCAGATTCCAGAGAACCTCCTCTACCCCGATCCCGTCGCTGTACTGGTGGCCCTCGTGTCCCGATCGCGCAGCCTGGAAAAGCTGCGCATCCCCGGAGGCGACTGGCAAGCTGAAGCTTATCTTGCAGCTCTCCCTCCTGATCCCGATCCCCCTCCCCTGGTCGAATTCACATACTTGGACAACTTTTTCGATCGGTGACAATTCGACGCTTGTCGCAGCTTTCGTTGACCGACTCTCTATTAGCTATAGTCCGCCCCGCTATGTCACGTACCATTTCATTCACCTTCCTCTCTTTCGCCTATTCTTTTTCTCTTCGCAGAATCCCTTGATCACGATTGGCGGAAACTTCTCGACCTCCCCCTGTGTTGAAGTTCCAAGGAATGCAACAGGGAAAAAGGAGCCGAACAACTTAAGAGCAGTACCTTGAATCGAACAAGAACTTCGGGAATTGATACAACACATGCCTTTTTAAGATGATCCCGCGGGCTGCCATACACCATACTGCTTTTCCTACATGCTGCTCACCTTTAATCTGTGCTGAACTTTCAAATTCCACAAGAAAAAGGAAACAGAAGCAGAGCAGCAGGAACAGAGCAGTACCTTGGATCGAACAAAGACTTCGGGAATAAATGGTGACAGCAAATACACAACACTAAGATAATCCCGCGTGCACCCATACACTACACTGCCTTTACTATACTGTTTTCAACCTGTGTGAGTGCAAAGATTTTGATGAATGCAAAACCAGAATAAGAGGGTATTCTTTGTGTGTGATTGCACCGCTCTGCCTTCATTTACCATAAATTAACTGAGGAAATAATAGAGCAGTCGCCGGAGAAAGCACAGAACTCGAAGACAAAACTGCGATTATGCCGACGGGCACAATGGATTAGAGCAGTACCTTGGATCGAACAAGGACTTCCGGGATGAGCTTCATTGACCCAAATGCTCCGAAGATGTGCAGCGTTCCACCGTACTGTTTCCTTGTACTCTTTCTGGACCTGGTTGCATGCCGCAGATTTTGAGGGGGGCGGAACAAAAAATCCAGAAGTGATCGGACCCAGAGCAGCACCTTGATTCGAACAAGGACCTCCGGGCTTAAATTGCCGGTTCATCTTGGGGAAACTGCCAAGAGTCTCCAGTGTGCAATAGTACACCATGCTGCTTCTTTGTTCTAGATGGCTACTTAGATGAGTGCTACGCAATCTGAGGAGCAGACGAGGAAAAAGTGGGGATCGAGAAACTCAAGGAGCAGAACCCCGGGGTACCATCAGAAAAGACCTAAAAGAGCGCGGTGTGCAGCATTACACCATACTGCCTCTCGTACTCTATATATTGACTATACTAACCCGGGTGAGTCCATCAATTTTGCGGAGTAGGAAAAAGAACGATGGGACGAAGGAAGAGCAATACCTTGATTCGAAGAAGGACCTCTGGTTTGAAAGTTGGAATCGTTATATCAAAAGAATCCCGGTGTGCGGCCTTACACCATACTGCCTTTACCATACTGTTTTCAGCCCGGGAGACCGCAAGGAGTTTGACGAATGCAAAGCCATAAACAGGGAGTCTCCCGTGTGCACCACATACTGCCTTCGGTTTTATTTATGTTCCCGATCGTAAATTGACTGAGGGAATAATATAGAGCCGAGGAGAAGCGTAGAACTGGATCACACAAAAAAAGGACCCCAATTGGAAAGAGCAGCACCTTGAGTCGAACAAGGACCTCCGGGTTGAACGTCTTGGAATCTTCGCATCAAAAGAACCCCGGTGTGCGGCATAGGTACACCATACTGCTTTCCTCGCCCGTATATCAGCCTAGATGAGGGCCGGGCTATCTGAGGAGTGGACGAGGAAAAAGTGGGGATTGACAAACACGCAGAGCAGTACCTCGATCTGAACAAGGACCTCCGGGTCGAACTTAGTCGCTGTGCCAGCAAAGAAACCCCGGTGTGCGGCCTCACACTATACTGATTCCTTAGCCCGGTTGTTAACCTGTGTACGTCAAGTCACAAATTGTGAGGAGCTGAGCAAAAAATGTGCAAGGCACCTTGGAAGGAACAGGACCTTGAGTCGAACATGCACAAGGACCTCCGGAATGAACTTGGTTCGTATGGATGCCGCGCAAAGGATCCCCGGTGCGCGGCATTACTATGACCTTATTTATCGCTGAATATTACGTGGTTCCGGAACGAGGTTCATCACCACGTACTCGCTTTCCGCGGACCGTGGTTTACGAGTAATTCGTGGTTCAAGAACGTGGTTTCTGAGTGTTTCGTGGTCGTGGAACGCACTTTTTGAGCACTTTCAAGGTCAGTATCGGGGGTATCTGAGGTCTTTTCGACACTGATCGCGGTTGTTCGTGGTTGAATTTGGCGGGGTTCGAAGTACAAGTTCCATTTGCCGAGCATACCGACCCCACATCAATCAACAATTGATCTGGCCAACGGGCCGAACATCAATTTAACGAGCTTTCTTGCATCTTTCGCAAGACATTGCAGCAAGATAGTTCCCATCCTGAGAGACAGTGCCTCCGTTAAATCCACAATCCACTTTATGGTATGCCTGCGCAATCATAAACTAACTTAGTGGGGGGCACGGGTTGTACCTCACACGATGTCGAGGTCGCAAGTGACCTGTGCAAGTAAATTCAAACGGGAAAGGCTAGGACAGGGTATGCTAAACTTCATTGAGTAGATACTCTACGAGGTGCAGGTGGGCCTCTTAAAACCAGTTCCAACCCAGCCTGGGGGCCTTGCCGTGGACCGCACGAATCCGGCTGATCTCGGCTAGCCATTAGCCCCGGAAAAGGTCGGCTAACCACGACCACGGACCACGGACCACGTCGTACGTGCGGGATCTACAGAACACATAATATTCAGTGAAAAAAGGTTTTATACATTACACCATACTGCTTCTTTAGCCTGGTTGTTAACCTGTGTAAGTGCTGCAGATTTCCAATAATTGAAATCAAAAAAGGCGAACGAAGTAGAAAAGTGCAGTACCTTGATTTGAACAAGGACCTCCAGGTTGAATTCGAAGTTGCACGCGCTGATAAAGAACACCCGGTGTGCGGCCTTACACCATACTGCTTTGTTCACCTGTATTTCAAACGTTCCTACTCGTTCCTACTCGGTGGTAAAGCTGTGACGAATTCCAAAAGGAAAAAGGTGGACGGATGACGAAGAGCAGTACCTTGAGTCGAACAAGGACTTCGGGATTAATGCTGGAAGTGTACAAAGTAATTCTGCGTGCGTTGATGCACTATACTGCTTTCTCCGACCTGCTCCTCAACCTGGGTAACACTAAATTTGTAGGCCCATGGAACAAAAGGAGTATCATCACTGGTGACCAGAGCAGTACCTTGAGTCGAACAAGGGCCTCGGGAATTTATACAAGAAGTTGTTCAAGATGAGCCCGCGTGCATCGATACATTATACTGCCTTTACCATACTTTCAACCCGGGAGAGTGCAAAGATTTTGAGGAATGCAAAGCCAGGAGAAAACGGAACCTTGTGTAGAATTACACTGGCACATACTGCCTTGGGTTTCATTTATGTTCCTTATCGTAAATCCATGAGAGCATGATGTAGAACCGAAGGAGAAAGCATAGCCCTCGATGACCATTGTCATTGACCAAAAAAAAAAACTCATGCCTTTGTACCGACCAGAGCAGCACCTTGGATCGAACAAGGACTTCGGGAATCGACTTCATCGATGAAGAGCAAGACTTAGACTAGTCCCACGTGCTTCGATACACCATACTACTTTCTATCTGTTCTCTTGGTGCTGGACGGCATCCAAGCAATTTCGAAGCACTGAACAGTGAAAACTGCTGCGGAGTTGGTTCAAATCTCATCTGCTCGGCCGGCGATATATCCTGATCGTGCTGACTGATGCCACGAATAGCGCCGGGTAACCCGGAATAGCCAAGGTGATTGCGCAGCAGGGAGTTACACGGCTTTCCGCAAGAGGTAGCAGATCGTTGGATCGCACACACTGATCAACTTCCGTAATAGCGCACGTGCTCTCGGATTTTCGTCAGCAGAAATGAGTCCTTTCAACATTTTAGCTTGTGTCCAGCGACACTCGATGCCCGCAGTCACTTGGGTAAATTCGGGGCAGATAGCCTCGTTATTTTGCAATTTTACGGGCAATTTTCAGAATATTCTCGATGACCCCCATAATTATATTGGTTGACGGGGTAATAGCCCTCCTCCATGCAGCGAGTTACTGGAATGCATATTTGTCGTTAAGTACTGCAATTCTCTGAGCCGTGCTTCGTATGTTCAGAAACAAGTGGGGACAAAGAGGGGAGCTTCGTTTTTGCCATTGATTTTCCTTGCAATGTCGTCGCCGTGGGGATCGCGGCGACATGGGATTGGCGGCCGGTGGAGCTTGAGGGCGTGTTAGACACTGTGGTAGGCCCAGAAGGGTCCCAGCTACAGTGAACGAGACGGTTTTCCAGTGGCAAGGCAATAAGCTGTGCTTTCCGCATTTGGGGGGAGGGAGGGTCCCTGCCGTAAGTTGATCACTGCGGTGATCCGATTGTAATAGTGCCACTAAAACGGCTATCTATTAAGTATTTGCGGTAGCGTGAGTTTTAGGGCGTGTTTTAGCTGCGTCTAAAACTAGCGATAATTTTAGTGTCCTTAAAACAATCACTCTTTGTTCTGGTATTACAATTCTCTCACCAAAGGCATAGGGGGCGGACTGTTTTAGCGAGACAAAGAGGCATCATTTTAACAAAGGTAAAATAAACGAAAATTTTAGCAGCAGTTAAAACGCGCACTAAAACTCACACTACCGCAAATACTTAATAGACAGCCATTTTAGTCCCACTATTACAATCGGATCACCGCAGTGGATGGGTGTGTACGATAACGCGATCTGACACCTCTTGGCTTTCCGGTTTTGCTGTCTGTTGCAACTTGCAGTGTAACAGCCACAGTTGGGGCTAAAATTAATCCGATTCCAGGTGCGAGCAAATTTTTCCCCCGGAGGTTCAGTCCTACGGCGAGAAAAAGCGCTACAAGAACGCAGAAAGGCTACACCGAGCCCTCCCGAATAACCCCGAGAATTCCCAGCGCCGGGTGGAGAACGTTGAACCAAAAAGCCCAACAAGGGAATATGATTGCCGAATGGGCCGATGACATCTGGATGACACACCTTTCTCTCATCTCTTTCTCTCAATTGTTTCTCGTCCTCACCGTCGCACGCTTGCTGCTCGCCGCTGCCCACGACGACGACCGACGCCCTCTTCGCCAATTCAGGAGTCTTTGATCAGGGACGGGTTGTTGTTCCCCTTGGCGACTCGGGGTCTATATCGAATCTCGATAGCTGCAGCTTAGAGTCGTATCTTGACTAACGTCGACCATGTCTTCGACCTCGCGCTCCTCCAGCGCCAGCGCACAATCTTCAGCCTCTGGCTCTGCCTCCTCCGTTGCCTCCTCTATATCCGCCTCCGGCTCCGCCAGCGGCACCCCGACCTTCTTCTCGCAGACCTTCTCCACAACACCCGACTCCACGCCCACCTTTGCGCGGCCGAGCGGTGGTGGTGGTGGTGGCGGCGGGGGCGGGCAGAGCGGTGGGGACACTGGGGGGCAGCCGGGGATCCAGTCCTCTGCGCAGCTGTACCGTGCGTGTTCTCGTCGCTGTCGCTGTTACGCTCCCAGCATCTGATTATCTCGCAT